GGAAGACTTGTTTATATGTTCTGTCGATTACTCCGGAGCTTTTGATAGACTGAAACACGTGGAGCCTGTGGAAGAATTGGAAAATTTGAACATTGAGCAATGGCAAAAGATGCATGTTTTAAAATGAAAAATATCCTGGCCAACAGTAAAATCAGAACATCAACAAAATAAAAACTGTTAGGGTCTTAAATTTTTCCTGTGCTAACTAACGGCTCTGAGTCCTGGACAATTTCTAGAGAAATGAAAAAAAGATTAACGCTACTGAGATGTGGTTTTTAGAAGAATTATGAAAATTACTTGGACCTCTCATACTTTGAATGAGAATGTATTAAAACAGTACTGTTATGGAAAGGAGATATTACTACAGATAATTCGACGGGGCAGTTAAAGTTTTTTGGTCACATCATGCGGAAGGAAAAAAATGGAAAATCTAACAACTACTGGAAAGATTGCAGAGAAAAAAGATCGCAATCAACAATAAATAACCTTTGTAAAGTCCTTGTGTCACTTATTGAATTATTGAGTATCACTATATTTCAACTTCTACAAAGTGTTAAAGATCGGGTTTTGTGGAGGTCGATGGTCGCCAATGTCCTGAAAGGATAAGGCACGAGAAGAAGAAGAAAAATGAAATATTACTACTACTACTAATAATAGCAATAATAATAAAATAATAATAATCAATTTTTTGTACTTTTTTCACCAGTTAATCACGTTGATACTGGCTTCGATATTGACAAGCAAAGTGAAGCACGAAGTCTGATTCCGGCAACTGTCGGTAAATATAACGGTTCTTTATCGGTTTTCAATATCACCGATTGATTATTTGATAAATTTTATTTTTAGTTGAGAATGTTTATTTATTTTGCGAAAAAGGCGCTGAAATATTTTTAATATTCGCTTTTAAAGCTTTTATTCTACACGCGTTAATTCGTACCATTATAATACTAATTGCTTTTACTATTGTAAAGATAATTACTGATATTGTTAGTAAATATAATTTAAGTAGTAATTATACACAAATACTTCATTAATCTATTTTATGTTAATTTGTAAGCAAAATTTTTTAATGTCACTATGTTCTCACAGAAGTTTAAACCAACTAGAAATAAATTGGACGAATGTATCTGACGATTTGACCATGTTTTATCTGGGCTTTACTTAAGATTTATTGATTAGGAGATTTTTATAAACAATTTTTAAACACTAATTTGTGTTTTGCTGAGAAAAAATCATTTGTATAGCGCTTTTTTGACAAAAACATTAGATCGAAAATCATAAAAAATTAGCATAGAATTATTTTTGCTATTTGTTTGGGTTAATTTTTATTTAAAATGTTTTTTTTTATAATTTTCTTATGGTTTCTTTGCTTTTGAAGCTTGTTGAACATTCAAACATGTCGCTATTATATAATGTAGCTGTTATTTTTGTTATATAAGAAGTAATAAACGTTATTATTACTACGATTAAAACTGCTTTTATAATAATAACTCTTCAGAAAGATTTACAATTTGTGATTAATAATACTTTAAAAAATGAATACCATCAATATGACTAAGAGTTAAATGATTAAATTAACATATAAATGCCAAAAGATAAAATGTTAATGGTAGAATTTTTTTATTCTGAGTAGCTTCTTGATGATTGCTCAATGACTCTTACTAACATTTGTCATGAGGAAATCATAAATTTGCGCTTTGTTGTAAAAAAAGATTTTCGTCTGATTTTTTAAAAATTAAATAATAAATTCAAAGGCATGCGAAGTATAGTGATAGATTTATGAGAGATAGAATCTTTCATTTTAATTCGACCTTCTATTAATTCTCATCAGTTAAGATCACGCAGTTGGAAATTTGTATAAATTTTTCCAACAACCAAATAGAGTAATTGAGTATGATCTAGGAGGTTGATGTAATATAATGTTATGTAGTTAACATAATGCGATGTAATGTTATGTAGAGTTATTTCATCTTCTCTCTCACCGCGTTTTCAGCCCTTACACTATTTCGCTACCTTTCTTGTTATTTAAGTCTTTTGCGATTTCAACCTTTTTTTATTTGCCTATAGGTGAGACCAAATATTTTGATTCAAATAGACAGAATGGTTTATGTAGGTTTAGGTACAACACTATCTTAGGCATGTTATAAATAATGTAACATACTTTGAATGAGAAAATAGTAACGCTTTAATCAACTTTCACACGCTCATGCATAAACCAGTTCAGTATTTATACTCTAGTGTGTTTGCGTATGCATACAGCAAAACATATATGTATGTATGTGTATGCAACAAATATAAAGGAAACAACGATAAACAACATAGTGCGCAACATGTATTCGATTGTTGTTAGTTCATTTGCAACTAACTAAGCCCAAACATCAACGACTAACCTAAATCTTACTTTAACAAACTAGCAAAATTTTAAAAACACACGCAAATATTTAACGCAACGACATTTCGTCGAGCATACAACTAAATGAGCGTGGATTCCGACGTACATACCAACATGTAGAGAGTAAAACTGCACAACACAACGAATCATCAACGAGCAATGAATGCCTGCTACTGTCATTATGAAGCTTTAGACACAATTGAAAGCTCTAAACACTTATTAAATGTAGAAACTGAATGAACGCTTGCAAATATATAATGGTGACAGCCGACTCAATCCTTCACTTGTTCATTCTCATTGTCGATATTTAAAATTTTTTTGAAAGTAGAGATTAAAGGTGAGATTTTTTTATTGATTTATTGATTAAATAATAAAAAGTATACATTGTATTAGAGCATTTATGTTGAATTCAAGTTTTTTTTATTGATTGAAAGATTTGGCATAAATATCATTTTCGTTTACATTTTAATTTAAAATCTGTCGATCAGTATTCTTAAATGTTAGAATCATCGATAGGATGTAGACAACGTATAATGTTAGCTAATGTTTCAGTTACATGTTTCACTTCTGATGACATACTGGTTTTGTATGTGTATAACTACACAACATAAAAAAAGACGGTTTTCGCTTAGAAAAAATGAAAATGTTAGATGCGATAGGGAAAAAATTTTCTGTTAACTGAATTTAATTGGTTGAAAATGTCATTTTTGAAAAAAATCATCAGAAAATGGTGATGCTTTTAAATGACTTCCATACGCACACACGCACACACACACATATATACATTTAATTAATATATTAAAACAAAAACACACACACAAACACACGCACAGCCAAACGATGTCTGCGTCAGTTAAGTGCCTTCAAGTCTGTGTGGCTATATTATGCATACTACAATTGGTTGGTTGTTCACGTTTTTAATTTAAATATTAATTATAATGATAATATATTCAATAACAATAACAACAATAATAGTAACAATCATAATATTATTATGAATGTTGCCAGCTCTTCCACATTTTTTGCATTGTAAAGTATCTTGTCGTTTCACTTATTATTATTATTTTTATTGTTAATAATAATAATATTATTATTATAGTTACAATTATTGTTATTTTTATATTTGTAGTGCTCTTACCTTAAGAATAAACACAAACAAGACAGACATAGCTAACATTGTCGTAACTCAGATGCCGAACAATGCAGTAGGCACTGAGCAGAACATTCACTCACATTCACATCCACACATCCATTCATAGTAATGTGATTATGATGAACTTGATGATTGTGTCATCATCGTCATCGTCATCGTCGTCGTCATCAGCATTACTTATTATTATCATCATCATCACCACCCTCATCATCATTAATACCTTTTGTCGTAATCATCATCATCATTGCCGTCTTCATCATCGTCTCCATCATTACCGCGATCATTGGTTTTGTTTATTTCATCATTATCATCATCCTCATCACTAAATTATCATCATCAGCATCGTCGTCATCATCGCCATCGTCATACTTACCCCCACATCATCGTCGTCGTCGTCATCATCCCAATCGATGTCAGCATTCTACACTAACTACAATTTCCACTAAAGTAATGAGACACATTTTGAGACCATCCTTCAAAACAACATTAATCTCTTTTACATCACATAATAACACTTACAACAACATAATATCACTTTTCATACTCAAACAAAAATATTATTATCGAGATAGTAATTTATATAGCTCTTAATAAATGCTTCCTCATTCAAAAACATTATGTCTCTCTA